AGCAACGAGCCCCGTGCTGATAACGTGTTGAATTAAATGCTCAGCTCAACTGCGCCATGAGTACATTCAGCAACTGATTTATTAAAGATCAAATCATGTCGTATTTAACTAAGAACAATTAATGCATTCATAATGCATGCATAACCTAAAATGTCAAGCAGGTTAATAAACTTAAGCAAATCCGCCCACAATAACTTGTGGTCGAATATTTGCTACAAATATATATGCAGATAGTTGACACACGTCTTGGGCAAATCATACAATGGTTACTTTCAACACTCTTTGACCATTCGGGGCTGAATTGCATCAATTGGATGTGGTCCATAATCTTAAATTAAAGGCGTTAAATACAAATTAAAACTTATCAAACCGAACAAAAAATTTAAAAGTGCTATTAATTAAAGCATGTCATCATAGGAGCATCATAATATTCACTTTCTAATGCATAAAATCAATGGAATAAATAAATCCACACTACAAACAATACTGCGTGAAAACCCACAAAAGGATTACACGTTGGAGCAACTGACCTGGCGGTTGGAAAGAATTCCCGAAACTTGAAAATATTACGAAGTTGATTCAGGTAGGATTTTCTTTAATAACAACTATGGCAATGGGCATACTCATATGCACTCCTTCCTGTTATGCGTATTCTTTAAATGGTACGATAAATATAATAATTTTATAAATTTTTCCCTACACTTAAAACATGGTTTGTTTTTTTGTAGGTGCTTATTTATGTGTTAGTCCTTGAGCAGTACAACATTCTGCCCGGTTTTCATAAAGTAACACGAAGAGAAGAATACAAAGCTGACACATCTATATACGTAGGTGCATCAGTCTTTGATCTTCTGAATTTCATTCTATAAACGTCGAAATACAAACGTCCAGCAACGGGAACGATTGACGATACAAATACATCTACAAAAAAATACATGTTTTTCTTTTTTTAGTAGTTGTATGAGAAATCGAGAATTAAACACAGCGAAGGAATGGATTACTTGTTTACCACAAAATGTCAAATCTTACATTCGGGGAAGGTCGGTCTTTTATGATTCTTTTTCAACCGCAGTTTGCCATTAAGAAGAAATGAACGCATCTGGTTTAGTTAATGTATCACTTTGGGAAACCTTGGCGAAATGTAATTTGTAAAATAAAGTAACACATTGTGACCATACATTGCCTTACATTGAATACTGTTAATTTTTATGATTGCCAATTAATTTGTTAAATTATGGGCAAATTCCCAACACTGAGCCCAGAACAGGTTCCGCTTCGTGGTTTCATTAATTATATCTTAATATACATACGCCATCCTTTGTAAAACATGTTCCACTCTGTCAAACTTTGTAGATATAAATACATACATCCAATTGTTTTAGCAGATTTGCGGTAAAAGGTAGTCTTGTCAGTGGTCACAATGTATTATTAATTGATGTAATACTGTCAAAAATAATTTAATGCTAAGCCTATTTTTGCAAAGGTCTGTATTAAAGCAATCCATCAAGATGAATTTTGACACGTTATATATTAACACAACGTTATACGTCACGGGAATTATCTGTTTTTTGTCCATGATTAGAATTCTAACTAGTTTAAGAAAATGATCTAGACCAAATCATATATAATAGAGTCATAACTAAAAGTAAAATGGTGCATCATGCCTGGCCAAGAATAAATAGTTGGAATTCATGCGCAAAAACTGATGAATTAATTGAGTACTGACGAAGAATAAGTACATTCGCCGAAACTCGCAGCGATTGGTGGTTAACAACTTGTGTGCTTTTGAAATGATAATTTATTAATCTTCCTAACACCAAGATCTTTCCGTTAAAATTAATTTGCCAACCTTCTCTTAATTTCCATTGGACACTGTCCAAAGCATTCTCGCATTACCAGAGTTGCACGCAAAAGTCTCAATATACGAACCCTCTCCCCCTGCCGGAATCGCACATCTGCCCGAAACTGAATTCACGAGGAGGAAATTGTTGCTATCTACCATTCTAAATTCCCATCCTTGATACGCGTTATCATTATTTCACCGATCCGTCCAAATAATGCCCCCATCTACGTTTGCAACATACATGCATCTTTCCCAGTTTTCCTTGTTGCCTGCGTAAGTAAATGGTGTAGCGAGTCGTTTGTCGCCGGGCATATTCCAAATGTCGACTGTGTTCAGCGCGGTTCTGTCTTTGGAACTCGGACATATTCCCATCTTGGCTAGAACACTGGGGTAAAAGCGATCCGGAGTTTGAATACAGTTACCGTGTCCCACATTTTTGATGAGTTTCCCATCAACCCGACATCTCCCACGGAAACAGCGGCCACCACCGAGTCCACAAATCATAATTTCCACAGTGGCCATGAATTTGGTCCAAATAGTGCTAGATTCGTCCTTGCGTTTGCATCGCAGTTGTTTACAGTCGAATGTGTCGATTGGTTCGGCCCAAGCGTTGGGATCTTTTAAAACCCTTTTGCACAAGTCCTGCATAGATGGGGCCTTCGGAGTGGATAAGTTTGGATCGATTCGTATGGCGACGTGACCGTCAATTCGTTTAAGGCATTGAGCTCCATTGGAACTGAAATTATAAATATCTTCCTAATACTGTTTAAGTATGTATTGTCATTTGAAACTTACTTAAGGAATGAGCTAATATAGCGGTCACTACATTCAGAAAAGAAATAGCGACGTTCGTCGCTGGCGCCACTCATAATGAAGCCGTAGTCAGGTTTACATTTATATGCGGGGTCGTAATCATGAATGGCGCCGACTCTGTACGATTCATTTAAAGTGACGAAATTTGCATTCAAGGAAATTTAGAGGTAGGACGTACGTATGCCCCAATTCATGGGCTCCTATGGTGAGACTGTTCCAATTACCGTCATCACTCCATACAGTCACTCCATAATCCACTTTGGTATTATCGTCAACAAAACAAGCACCCCCAAAGTAAGGTATAATGTACAATTCTCGCTCAAATCTATTTATAAATTTTGCATGCAATTTTTTTTGCATGCGTTTCTTCTAATTATAGATTTGCATGCAAAAAAATTTCATGCAAAAAAACTTCATGCAAAAAAAACTTCATGCAAAAAATGGGATGCAAAAAATTTCATGCAAAAAAGGCGTTGGGTCAACCCCCCAGGGAGTTTGACCGCAGCGCAGTGACCGCAGCGCAGTTACCTCAGCGCAGTGACCCTTGACCTTAGTGCATACTCATCATGTGATCACAAAGTGGAGGAGCATATTTATTATGCTGAAATGAAAACTGCACATTTATGTCTAATTACTTGCATAATGCAATGTTGGCAAGAAAAGAGGGTGTTTGATTTCGCAAGTTAATTGCTTAATTATATGTACATGTCTTGCAAAAGTTGGCCCATCTCCAGTTGACATTCCATTACGCCCAGTTTTATTTGAAAGAAGAATATTTAGACATATTTAATCTTGTACTACCAATAAATTGATTATTGGCCAGTTGTAACTCGATTCATACAAATTAGTAAAATCAAAGTGATTTTACTAATTTGTGTTGTTCTACGAACCGTGAATTCTTATGCAAACTGTGATGGAGATAAAACTTGTCTGCAATGTATTAAAGTTGGCTGTGTGTACGGAGTGACAAGTTCAAGTACTGGAACATGTTTTAACCGTGATGAGATTCCGGTTGGAATTTTGGCAACGTTCCGAACTCAGAAAGCGTGCCAACGGGTCAATAAGTTTGGTATGTACATTCATTATTGCACTTTGGTGAATTTCTTATTGCATAAAGATGTATACAGAAATTTCTGAATGAATTTTAGCAACAACTCAGCCGAGTACCCCACCCCCATTTCAGATATACTCCAAACGTGGACAGCATACAACTGTTAAAGAAGAGATAATGCATACTGCCTTCACAGGTGTGCAGTTGAAATAATTTCACTATTTATTCCATTATTTGACACTATAATAATCTCAGAGCGGATTACTACTTCCACCACAACTGAAAATCAAGTATATACATCGGAATTACCTACTTTCACAACGCGTCCAACAACCCATAACACAACGACCAATTATCATTCACAGGAAACCTCAGAGGCTACACAATCCAATGCAGCTCAACCTGAAAACATTAAAGAGACCACCACTGATACAGCAATAAATACAAATGCTGCTGGTAATTTACACAATGTATAGCGTAATCCTGGCTTTCCATTCATAAATAAAGTTTTCGTCTCAGGCAAAGTGGCAATGCACACGACAATTTTTCCAATAGTTGAATCAACCACACATGTGGCAGATGAGATACAAATTGAGCAACCCACAACGTCATCCTTATTGGATGCAAGCAACACAACTTTGGGTATGCTGCATTAAACAAATGCATATAAAGTGTGACCTAATTGTCTTATGTACAGAACCGAATTCGAAATGGCATCACGCCAACCTAACTCTTGATCGTGACACTGGAATGCCCAGAAACGTAAATATATCAATATTTATAAAGATTTATTGTGCACAACCTATCCCAATACCGTCCATAGCTTCTAAACAAAATATGCATGCACTTATTGTTGTATTATTTCCTAGACTTTTCCACTTCTAGCGAGAAAAAGAAAAACGTGGAGTACCTACGATAAACTAGCATTAAATGCTTGCAGAATTTCTAGATTAATTATGAAGAATAATTTGATTGGTGACCGAGATCTTGCTAATATTAATAGGGTTATAGCGAAAAAATTTACATATGCATTATGCGATGCTTTGGTTTCAGGAAGGGCAATATTTTATGCAAACAAATTTTAACACATGCAAAACGCGAATTAGATATGTGCTTTGGATGAGTTCCAAGTGTTAAAAGTTGTATAAATTTCATTTTGCACATAATGAATGATAATAATTTTATTAAAAATAAATGCAGAGAAACTTGGTTGGAGTAATAATTTTATTTAATAATTTCCAGAAAACTGTTGTTTTTATTTTCAATCAGTAAACATCATCAATTCTAAAAGTGACTAAATTACTACTAAATTACTACTTTCGAACGTTCATTTATTTATATTTCATGTATTCAAGACCGGGCCTTTTTGGGGCTACGTCATCGAATATTAACTCTAAAAATGACTAAATTCACTAAAATGACTACCTTCCTTTGAACGTCAATTTATTATTTGTCGTTGGCTTCTTGACTTGGGCGTTTAGGAGGGGGGACGCCTGCAGAGCAGATTGTCTAGCAGCTCGAATTACGTCAGCGACTACGGTTGTGGTCAATGGCTGGACGGTGAGTAGAGAATCTGGATCAGACGTGAGCTGCCTCACACTGGTTGTGAGGAATAAAGTGTCCTGAAACAAATTAATGAATTATATAGTTTATTTATCAAAAAATATTAAGTAATAATAATAAAAAAATACAAAAACTTACTTTTGATGCATCATGCATCCTATTCACGAGAGCTATAGCGTTTAAATGCAATAGCTTGTTGAAGATTTTTATGTTGGTTTTGAATTTTGTTTTGAGTAGTTTTAGCTCGTTAGTTAACTTCTCCCGTTCCTCTCCCTGATTGTGTTCCATTTGTTTTAGCTTCTCCTCCAAAAATTCAATTTCATGAAGGTCCTTTTTCCTTTGATTTTCGAGATAACTTAATTCTTGATTGTGTTGTTCATCAATGTCCTCGATCTCATCTTCAAGTGATGTCGATCTCCTGCACTCGTCCGCCAGTGATTTCTCCAACAGTGTGACCTGGTGGTGGAGTTCAGCCCAACGGGAGTAATCCCCGTTGGGCCGACTTGATGGATCAACGAGCGAGTCTAATTTTTTTACTAGTCCCTCGATGACTGACGTGAAATTCTGGATTTCTGATTCCGCTGGCATCTATCAAATTAATTCGTTTGATTTTTATTTTATATATAATTTAAAAATGCATGTAAAAAAGGTAGTTACCCTTCCTAATGTAGTCAGGTTCGGTGGTGAGACATCTGAGTCGACCGTTTCTGCTGCGGTTACTTCCGGCGTCTGAAAGAGTATTTCAATCTGGTGCTGTGGAGGTGAAGCACTTTCGATTTCTTCGAGCCTCACCTGATTGAGTTCACGGTTGTATATTAACAAGGACCGTTGAGCCTGTCCTGTTAATAGGATCACTAATTCCACTTGCGGGATAATTATCCTTTCGACGTCGATCTGTAAATTATTAAAAAATTAATAAACAATTTTGAACTGTAATAATTACGATTATCTGAGATTTTAGCACTCGATACAATTACCGCAAATTTTTAAAAAATAATAAAACGATCTCTAAACCGAATTCTCAGTCTTAGAAGCATCTAATTTGTCACGGGCTACTCGCATATGTTTCACAATTTTTGGAATTGGTTGACCAGATTATGGAACCAGCTATTTGGGGAATAACTAAGTTTGCGAGTCGACTATTTGTTGTAAGCTTTAAGAAAAGTAGCTTGGAAGATAAATGAAAATAAATGTAGTGCAAAAATGTACTTACCAATTCATTATTATTTTCGTCTCCGAATGGACACATTTCTGTAAATGTAGGAGTTTCGCTGAAGCTATACGTTGAAATATAATTACGGCTCACAACTAAGCATTGACTGTTAATTCAGGGTATATTTATTAACTTTTCAAGGCTTATCATGGCACAAGTACGTAGTGGATGTAGAGATGCCACGGGTATTACCACAACCGGTTACTCAGCTATGTAAGCTGATTACTGATATCCTGCTGAATATGATTATCTAACAAACGCTTATGCCGGGCACCAGGCACACGAGGCATCCCTAAATAAATGCGAGCATGAAAAATTTTTGGTAATTTTTTATTTAAATTGTTTGCTTTATTCAGTTGAGACAAAATAAAATACAACTGCGGCATAGCATTAGGTATATTCGCAATTCCAGACTAATAAATAACTTTTAATAAAAAATATCACGACAACTACATTAGCCTAATTCCTAAATCGTATTTTCAAGCAATCCCATTAAAATATGCTTGTATAAGTATATTTGTGATAATTTTTATATTTAAATTCACGTTTACTGAATTTATATCAGACAGAAAACTCACAAATGTGCGTATAAGCTACTTAGTATGTCAGACTAATAAATGACTATTTCATGAAAATATCCACTATTCGGATTCCTTAATCGCTGTGTTCATCATTTGGCTTGGAGTCAAAATAAACTTGATATTCTTTCAATGTGCTTAAGAATTCCTTACAGAGTCCACATCTGAGGATTAAGCTTCGTCCGCATCCTGTGGTTAGTTGATTTTGCTTGGGCATAATTAGTCTTAAACTTCGAATACCTTCAAGAGTAATGAATTGACGAACGCCAAGATAGCCTGATGGTAAAAAGTCAGTATGCGCCTTGTCCCAAAATTCTGGCTGGCGATAGTCCATGATCTTGCCAAAAGGCGATTTTTTTATCTTTGATGGTATCTCACTCGGTTTCAATGTTTTGAATTCTTCCCATTGTTTTTCTATTATTTTTATCAAATTACTCCTTGTTCCTCATCCGAGCTTTCCTCGGATGAAATGATAATTCTCCGTTTGAGTTGTTTGCTTGCCAACTTTTTGTTAATTGCTCCTTGAGAGGTCGTGTCTTCACTTTCCTCCTAAAAAGTATTTTGTTGGATCTTCTCCGGACTATTCTCCCCTTCACTAAAAGCTTGAGAATTTTCCATTTTAGCTTTAAATTTGACAACTTCGTTTCTCAATTGCTGTGTAAGCTCAATGGCCTGCTTTAAAATTGGTTGTCCTTTATTCTTCTTGAACATTTTAATGTGAAGCTTTTCTCGGCTTATATATGCAGTTTTCTGGATTTTATTTTATTTACCTGGAGAGACTCCAGTTCCAGTTTTTGGCACCAGCTTCATTTGTTATTTTTAGATAGAGATGTTACTCAGTTCACATTTCCAGAAAAATTTGTGTGGGTGTGGTGCCCCAACAATAGCGAGCTATTTTTAAATTGGAAGCGTTTCTTTGCACACATTCTCAGACACATTGTCATGAATTACATAATTGGACGTGGTGCCGCATTATGTAAAAACACAAGTCTCCAACATATTTCTGTGGGTGTGGCTTAAAATTGTTGAGCTATCCTTTGTAGGCATCCTCGTCTGGAAAAAAATCTGGCATTCCCAGACAAATCTACTTGAGTCTGGTTTCAAAAAAATGTGATGCTATTTTTGTACACTCTTGTCTGGACATAAACCGATCAGATAAAAAGTGAAAGTTGCAATCATGGGTAGTTCGTCGCGTAGCACGATTTGCCCTACTTCTATCCTCCAGCAATACAGCATTGCTCAATTACAGCTATTTTTTAAAAACAACCCATCCGAACAATTGGTATTTGAACAAATTCAACCAGATTTCACTCCGAATGAAGAGCAAAGACAAGTTTTAAAATATGTTGATGCATCATTGTCAAGTAACGTTTTAATTAGGACATACCTGACAGGACTAGGAGGTTCTGGAAAATCAGAGACCATAAAAAATATAGGTCAAATTTTCAGAAATCATAATAAAATTCCATTATTCTGTTCAGCATTTGGAAAAGTATCATCTGAGATTGGTGGCCAAACCATCCATTCGCTCCTTCCGATTGGATATTATAAAAACTCCAACTATGCAAAACTAGCAAAGAAAATTAAGAGGTCTCCACAACTTGTAGAAAAGTTTGAAAAATATTCAGCGATTATTATTGATGAGATAAGTTGCTGTAATGCCTCATTATTTCAGTACCTAAATCTTGTCTTACAAGTTGCGAAACTCTGCAAAACAAGTTTTGGTGGGTTGCACGTTGTTGTATGTGGAGATGCTCTTCAATTGAATTGTGTGTGTGCTACGTCATTGACATCGCATTCTAAAAACGTACCTCCTTTCGCTAAAGAAGGAATCAAATTATTTCGAACTTTTCATCCAGTATTTGTCCTACAAGTCAATCAAAGACAAAACGGAGATGAAGCCTTTCAAGAATTATTAATGCGACTCAGAAGAAAAGTTACCCAAGCCGACGTTGATTTGTTAAATTCTCGCAGAGAATCTGTTTTATCTAGTGAGGAATTGGCTAGATTTGATCAGGGGCTATATATTTTTCCCCGAAATATTTTCACAAGAATAAAAAACCACGAATCCTTGAAACAGTTAGGTAATCCTATTATTAGCTTGAAACAATATCCAGCAGAGCCAAAACTCGAGGATTATGACTGTGACGCAATTTCAATTGGATGCAAAGTAAAGGTAAGACGAAATTTTGACGTTGCTAATCGACTTGTGTCTGGAAGTGTGGGGACTGTCGAAGCTATAATTTATGACCCTGACCTCCCTGACCTTCCACTACCAAGCGTTATACTGCTATCAGTGCCTAGGTATCGTGGCCCCACAATTAATGGCCTGATTCCAATTCCTATTTCAAAACAATATGTACGGGACTACGCTTCAAACGAGAACGTGAAAATTTATTATTATCCATTGACCTTAAATTATGCTTCGTCCGTCCACTCATCTCAAGGAGTTACATTACCATGTTGTTCTGTGCTTTTGGATGATGATGAAATGTGCCCAGGAATAAGCTATGTTGCATTATCACGAGTGCGTGCATTATCTGATTTGATGATCTTGGATAAAGAGGTCTTCCTAGAAAGATTTCAAACCCGGAGATTTTTTCAGGGGTTCAGAAATATTTTAAAGGAATACAAAAGATTGAACATTTTACATTTAATTTTTGGCCCCAAGCCATTAGAACGCGATTACTATTTGAGGGATTCTGAAGATGAGTCGGAACCAACTGCCTGATCCATTCAGGCCAATTATACGAATTTATAGGAATCCATACATAAAAAGCGCTTGTAATTTGTTACGAAAATTCGAGTGTCCAATTCCATCATGTCGTAAATTTTTCTACAGGCATGCGACTTTTCAAAATCATGCAGAGTTAAACCATTGTTGCATGATTTGTTATTAAACCTTTGTATCTCCACGTTATCACAAATGTCCTGGTATTAAAGTTGGACAAGGAGCTCCTCCAATTAACGATTTACAAACTGGAAAGTTTGACCTTGTTGAATCAGCTTATGGTGGAGTCGCCATGTTATTCAAGCAGCAGTTAGATAAATCACTCACAAGTTTTTCAGATACACTAGATTATGTGTATGATGATTTAGAAAATATACTTTCATATTGCATTTACATGCATAAAGCAGTCTTGGCTGCAATTTACATTAATGTGACTTTGCAAGATACTAAAGGCAACGATAAAACTTTAAATATTTTGAGTCCGTTCCAAAGGTATGGTCACCAAGATTTAATTCTATCCAGAATTCTGGCTGCGGGCGATTACCTGACTACTTCTTTAAGTTTATATGGGACTGAAGGCAGTGGCTGGAAATTACACAGCATAAACCATGTAAACTTAAAGATTGGGAAATATACAATCTTTAGTGCGAGAGGATGGATTCAACATCCGAAAGAGCTTGGGAAGAAGATTATAAATATTCACACAAAAGGAAATGAAAATTGTTTCCAACTTTCGTTGATGTGTGGTCTGAAGCGCCATTTATTAATTCCTCCTAAATTACAAATGATTATGCGACAACCTGGACGAATACTAAATAAAAATGAAAAGCTCCAACTCAAACGCTATTGGGAAAAACCCAAATCCTATGAAGCAATTTTGGCCAAGAATGAGAAGACTGGTGAGATCAACTTTACAGGGATGAAGGGTGCCACTGCATTGAGTCAAATGGATGCATTTGAAGCCGAAAACCCTCTACATTCTGTGACCATTTTTGGTTATGAAGAAAAATTATTCGTTATACGGCCTGCACCAAAAATACGTGAAAATCATGTGGACTTGTTGCTACTACGGTTAGCCAAACCAGGATCCGTATGTCTAAAGAAGGAAGATGTGGAATATGACTATCACTTTTGCACAATCCCTTCGCTATCAAAGTTTGTAGGAAAAAGCGGTTATCGAAGATCTGAAGTTTGTGAATATTGCTTTGGAATTTACAAAACATCAATTGAAAAGCATGCACAAAAATGCGCTATTGCTCACCGCGACCAAAATCAATCGAAGCAAATGAAATTCCCTGAAGATGATGTATACGAGTTTAAAAATTTAAGAATGATTGAAGATCTTCCAATCAAGATTTTTTTCAAATTTTTATGGTACAATGAAAATGATCGTCCGAGCATACCCACCTGTAATCAGAATTTGAAATTTACTACGCCTGTATCCAACATCAAGATTAAAGCATATTTTCTTTGCGTTATCAATCAATTTAATCAGTTGGACGACATGCTAATTTACGATGGGGAAAATCCAGTTGAACATTTTATACAAAAAGTGATTGACTTAAAATTTTATTACAAGGAGTATCTAAAGAGGGCGTACGTACCAATTAGTCTTACCCCTAATGACAACTTACGGCTAATGCTTGCCACGAGATGTGAAATATGTGGAACCAAATTTAATGAAGAAAACAAGAAATGCTCGGATCACAACCACTGGACTGGACAATTGCGTTATGTAGCGTGTAGTAATTGCAATATCTTAATCCAGGTTAATCCAACGCCTATTCTGCTGGGTCACAATATAAATAACTACGAGTGCCATTTTTTATTAAAGAGTTTCAACAAGCGCTACGCCAAGAACATCAAAGTGATAATGAGGGTTTCTGAATCGATAATAAGCATAAAGTTTAACGGAATCCGATGCCTGGATAAGCGGACATTATTGGATCATGATCTGTACGATCTGGTAGACCGACATAAAAGAGGGATAGTTCTGGACCATCTTCCTTACCGATTTCCTTGTCTGTACGGAGCATTACGAAGTACTGAAGTGGAGGAAATGTATTTTTCACAATTTTTATTTCGGATAGCTATGCCATCACGAGCTATTAATCAACAAGTTCCTAACGGGTTCCCGAAATACGAACTGTTTAAAGACCCAGTAACCAGCGAATGCCCCCCAGAAACCGAATATCAAATGGCAGGCGCAGTTTTTTGGAATTTTAGAATGGAAAATGCAAAGGATCTTCTTTATTACGGACTTAAAACCCAAGTACTTCTGACAGCAGATATATTTCTTGATTTCAACAAGATGGCAATGAAACATTTCAAGTTGTCAGTTTTCCATAGTTACTCATTGAGTGGGTACTCATTCAACGCATGCTTTTTTGACACAAAGGCGTCACTTGAATATATCAAGGATCCGGAAATTATAACTTACTTAAAAAATGCAATAAGGGGAGGACCTACAGAATCTGTTACGCGTAAAGTCGTAGCTAATAGCGAACGATTAAACAATTTTAACCCGTGCCAGCCAAGGAGTAATATTTTGATTATTGACGAAAACTCTCAATATCCGTCCAAAATGAAAAACAAGATGGCGGTTGGTTCATATTCATTTCTATCCCAAGACGATTTATCAAAATTTGACTTGATGACTGACTGCAATGGCGACTGGAACTACATAGTGACAGTACAAATCTCCCATCCAACAAATTTGCACGTCAGGCAGAGCCCAATGCCACCTTGCCCTTATCAAAGAGAACTGAAATTTACGGATTTATCCCCCACACAGCAACTGTATTCTACTGGTTTAAACGGCGAAGATCAGGCTGCATTATTTGGAAAAAAATTGGTTGCAGGCTTGTATGATAAAACTTACACTTGCTGCCTGGAAGCGGTCCAATACTTTCTCGAATCTGGTTTACGCGTTACAAATCTCAGCAAGTGTTTAAAATTTCGACAAGCTGCTATTCTAGAGCCGTCTGTTGACAAGTTATCAGAACTGAGAAGAAAGGCTATCCTGGAAGGGGACGAAGTCGGTAGTCTATTGTTTAAAGGCATTATAAACAGAGTTTTTGGTGTGTGCTTGTCTTCAACCGAGGATTATGTAGATTTTCAAGTGTGCGTTACATCGGGAGATATGATTAATCTAGGCACACATTCGAAGACTTTACAATTTTGAACGGATTGGAGGGCGTGTGTCTATTCAGAATGAAACGAACTGCGGCAATGTACAAGTACCCAATGATTATGTCAATTCAAACTTTGGATCGTGCAAAAATCAGTCTTTACAAAATGTGGGATTTGATTAGATCCGAATTTGGGATCGAAAACACTAAACTATCGTTCTATGACACGGATTGTCTGTTGCGGATATCAACCGCTGATCACATTACGGATCCAAAAAATCAATTTTACAAGATACTTAGCAGAATGCAAGACCATTTGGACTTTTCATCGCTACCTAAATTTCATCCGCTATACAGTGATCGGAACGCTTCTCTGGGAGGTAAATGGAAAATTGTAACACTCGACGCGGCTAGTGTGATTTCTCTTCGAGTCAAATGTTATTCAATACGCTTAGGAAGGTGCGCATACTGTTCAACTGTATTTGATCCCCGGAGCAATTGCAATTTGGTTAAGAAGGGAAGCGGAATACCCCGTTCAACAGTTAAAAATGAGCTGGATCATCAAATGTACGAAGATGCCCTAATCAGAGAGGGCGCACTAACTCTACAATCGTATGTAATGGAATCAAAAAATCACAGTCTTTGCGTTGTCAGTCGAGAGTACAAGTTTCACTCATTAAACCCTCGCCGATATCTTTTGCCAAATATGATAGATACTCTAGCCTTTGGAGATGTAAGAATACCTACCACCGAGAATGTTCAAGCTATAATGGAATGATTGGTCGCGTTGCGTCAGGGTTTATTAGTAGGAAAACAACTTTTCGCGACGCATTGCAAAACAAGACTCTGCCCGGGGCACAAGTATTCTCCCAAAGCTCAATTTGTGAAAATTACGTAATCTCGTGACATGCTAAAATGCAAGATTTTACCAGAGTGAGCTTGGAATTACCGTGGCCATTTATTCTGCTAATATGTGGACAAACGGGAATTGGTAAGACGGAGCGTGTTTTAAGTTGGATCCGCAACCGTGATAAATTATTTGATCAACACTTTGATAAAATAATATACGTATATAACCAAACTCAACAAAAGTTGATTGACATTGCTGCAGAGGTTCCAATGCTGGAATTATGTAACGATATTTACAAGGTGGAAGGCAAGCTGGATCCGAAGAAACGAAATTGGGTAATTTATGACGATTTTTTAACATCTATGGAAGAAGACAGAAAAACAGATTTATTTATCCGGCATTTCGTAACCGTTAAAGCTCATCATTTAAATTGTTGCACAACTATTTTGATCCAAAACTACACTCCCAACAATTTCAAGTCTGTGATTCTAAATCTTACGCATTTAATACTATATCGAAACTTGAGAGACATTCGACCAATAAATAATATTAGTTCCCAAGTTTTTGGAAATTCAACATTTCTTTCAGAGTGTATGAAGGAGCAAGCGAACGATAAATTTGCTTTTGTATGCATTGACTTTTCGACCAGTGAAGAACTGCGCTGCAGAAATTTTTTTATTCAGAGTGACCAATCAGTGTTAAAGTGTTACAGTCCAACATGACACTCGAAGATATAGCCAACCACCAGGAATTTCTGGTTCAGTTATCAAACGCTTCTTCAAATAAAAGAAGGCAGCTCCTGCAAGCATGCCCAGTTGAGCAAATCGAGTGCATTATAGAAATTCTTATAAATTTCAATAAATTTGGTAGAACAGAAACTTCAAAGCTCAAAACATTGCTCAAATACTTTTTTAAAAAACGTAAGTTGAATTTAAAGAATGTTAAAGCCTTCTTAATTCTTAACCAATTGACACTGAAATATATTCTGTCCATTGCTTTGCAAAAAATTATTGAAGAGGCGGTAATTTGTGCTTGCACCTAATATGGCCAAAGTTTTTTATTTAATATCCAGTGATACATATAAAAAGTTGCAAGAAAGTGAATTATTATCATTGGTAAAATATGATCAACCAGAGAACGTTGGAGCTGGTGGAACGTTGGATCCGGTCAAACCATTAAAGTCTCAATCGTGCAAGAATTGGGTATCTTTTAGTGACAAATTTAAATGGAAGAAACCAGAAAAAAAATTATAAAAACATATCTCTCTCCAAAATCACCGGCTGGCTACAATTCTCTGACAGCTTTCCTACAGAATTCAAAATATAAAAACAAATCAGTGGTTCAAGATGTCCTCAATTCTTTAAAAACATATTCAATACACAAGGGCATTCGGAAAAAATTTCCGACACGTAAAGTAATGTTTAACTCCATTGACCAATATTGGACCTGGGATATAGCAGTAATGCCAAACTTTAGAAGTAATTCGTTCTTCAAATATATATTGATTGTTCAAGATTTGTTTACTAAATTTATCTGGGCAATTCCTCTAAAGAAAAAAGATTCCAACGCAATCATTGAAGGGATAAAGCAGCTTCTCAAGAAAGCAAAGGGCAGAAAACCTGGAAAAATCTGGGGCGATCAAGAGTCAGGTTGGATGAGCAAAAAAACACAAGACTATTTAAAATCAGTGGGTATTGAAACTTATTATACTTTCAGTAAAAAGAAGGCAGTTTATTCAGAGTTGGCTGTAAAACATGTTAAAAAACGGCTATATGCTATAATGTCTCACACCAATTCAAAAAATTGGCTTAAACATTTAAATTCAGTCGTATATTCTTTAAATCATAGCTACAATTCTAGTGTCGGTAAGCAACCAGCAAATGTAACTATTAAAGATGAAAGTGAAATTTGGGACAGAATGTACAATAAAATTATTGATATGAATCCTCCGAGTAGTAAACTAAAAGTTGGTGACCTAGTTAGAATTGGTAAAACAAAAATTGATCTCGGGAGCAAATCATACCTTGCTAATTGGACAGATGAATTATTCAAAATTTCTTATATAAACTACGATTCTCGGCCCGTCTTGCTTTACTCTCTCACGGACTTGTCGAATGAACCAGTTCAAGGGACCTTCACTGAGCATCAGCTAAATCATCAGAGTCAGCGGATCGAACAATAACGATAAATGATGGATAACTCACCTGATGATTTTTTTGTGACACTACAAAGTGACCTGTGTAAACAATATTACAGTGACAATACTTCAGCGAATTTTTGTAACTATTTGGCACGACCAATAGATTCTTTCAAGAACGAATACCTTTGCGGGGTTTCCGAAATATTTTTTAGCGAAGCAGACGCCGTCATGTTGGCTCCGTCAAGTCAGCAAAAATTCTTTAATTCATCGTCTCAGAGCGAAATTGTGGCGATTCAACAATCAAACAGCATAATTTCATTCCCGAAAAAGCAAGACAGCCTTGTGAACTTTTACGACGCGTGGGCGGTAGACCTAGACTCCAGACAGACTCAAGATCCAAAAATAAAATATCGAGCGATTTAATCCCTGCGTGACGCCGATCACAAGTTTTAAATAGTTGAGAAATACGGCCACCGCGTATCGACAAATTGGTCAGTTTGGGTAGGTGGTTCATGTCCAGAAAGTCCTTCATGTCATACATATCGGCATCATGAATCGTAAGGTGGGTAAGGTTCGGGCGGAAAAGTTTAAAATCTAGAGTTAAAAATTTCATTGTGCTTATAATTTACATATGTAATAAATATGTCACAATTAATGTAAATACCTGAGCACATTTTGGCGGGACTCCATACTCAGAAAATACAAATTCAAGCTTTTCTAAAGCATTTGTAAATTTTTCTAGCATTTTAGAAACCGCAAGAGGAGAAAGATTAGAGGATTCTTTGGATTTGATAAACACGCCAAACTTCAAGACCTTCACCTTTGTCGCAGACAAATCCCACTCAGGAAGTTCACCTACTATGCTAATATTGAGCTCCTCAACTTTAGGGGCAGCATTAAACAGCCCTTGTAGAATGTATGGCTAGTTCAACGGATGGATAATTCCCACCATTTGCATTACAATGGTTAATGTCAAGACGACGTAGATTTGGGAGGGGTAGAAATTTTGGCGCCACAAGTGCGACCTCGTCCTCCCAGCCCTTAACCAAGATGGACCATCGGTTCCGCATGGTGAACCTCGTCCATGATTCTTCCTGGCTGAGGACGTCGTTACCCCCTGCTCAGAGATGGAGTTCAGTCAAAAAGTTTGAAATTTCGGGTATAACAGAGCCCTGGTATGAGGTCGGTTTTGGATTCGCAAGTACAATTCTGCAGGCAAGCACACTTTGAATCCAAACGTAAGGATATCTTCCTTACCAGTTTGGGGTTGAAGACGGTCATCCTATTAACGTGGGGAAAGGTTAGGTGGCCTCTCCGACCGAGAAAGGGGGCGCCCACATCGCCCCAAATGGTGCAGACTGATCGCATCGTCTTCAAAGTAGTAAAATCTAGGCAGGCGAATATTTCTCCAAAATCTGAAACAGTAATGTTGAAAGAATTTACATAGTGAATGGTAACTTGCAGAATTCCAGCATATCACAAAATAATTTTAGCAAATCTTACAGAATAAACAACGCTCTTGATTTAAGAGTAAGTTTACAAACCTAAATTTGCCAAGTAATTGTTCGATGAATTACTTGCTTCTAAAATTTATGGATTTTACAATTTTAATTTTACCAATCCAACAGTGATTTGCCTCAAGCATCAATATTAGTATGTTAACATTTGTGTCCCTAGTTAATTTCCGTCTACGTAGAATCATTTTCCATTATAAAATGAAGATGTGAAATATTGGATGAAACATACAGAAGGAAAATTTATTATTTCATGAAAATTAAATAATTTATAGTTACCAAAGGGTTCATTAGCGCCTTTTCCAAGACCGGATTTTCGACAGGGTCAGACATATCCATTCCTGCGAGGCTACTAATAATATTTTCTTGCATTATAAATTCTTGCAATTAATCCAGACGAACCTGTGTCAAATTGGAACTTTTAAAAAAATTGCTTTCAGTACATGAATCTTGTGTATTTTTGGTAATTGGGTGCTACATATGTACTTCTTAAAAAAACTGCAATTTTCATTCTAAGGTTAATTACCTTTGTTTTCATACCTTGACTTTCCGATAATTAAACTTATCTCCAAATGGTACAAGTGGTGGGGTTGTCTTTGCTTAATGTTTTTGCTATTTAGGCTAAAGTAGTTTTGCGAAGTAATTTGAGAAGCTTCAGACTACCTAATAATTTTTACAAGTCTTGCTATGAACAAATTTAACCCTGAAGTAAACATTTGCGTCTATATGCATACATATTTTATGCCATGTTCATCATTGCAAATCACTTATCAGCGCTGATAACAGAGCTCAAACTTTTATCAGAATTTTACTGCGCGTGCACACTCTAAGAAAACTGGTATTAAATCATTACTGACTCTACTCGTACAACACTAATAACAAGTAGCGCCGTTAAGTAATGCGGTAATAACAATTTACCAGTCAGAAACACACTACTACCGATCCGGTAGGAAATTACTGCAAAAACAACACCAGTGGGGGAGTATATATGCCACTATACCGGATTTTTAACGGTGCAGGTGAAGAATAAGGGTAAATATAGATATGAGGAAAACCGTTTAATATTGTCACGCACTTCAAAACTTGATTGGTTCATATCGGGTAATAATAACTAGTGGATGCATTATTAACAACCTTTCTTGAATTATAAACGACGTTTTGACATATTTTCTAAATTTTGAGTAAATTTAAGTTAATGGATTATTAACAGAATTTCGCTTTTCACAAAATTCCGAATCAGATGGTATTCTTAACAGATTCATTTTAACAATGTTTCTTTGTGTATTAGGAAGAAATCAAAGTTAGCAAACTATGCTTACACCTAACGGGTGCATATGGTGTCTAGTTTAATAATATCTTAGTTGCAATAACTAAATTCGATGTTTACTCGCGAATAACAAAATTCCGAATTACTTACAAAATTTCCATTTAGCAAGAACTTATCTAATGAATCCGTTGTATCATAAAAATTTAGATCAGTTCGATTAGTTTTATTCGAGCTGGCTCAAGCAACACATTAAAATATTTTTCACTCTAATTGGTCAAGAGGGTATCTCAATTAAAGGGAGTGGGCAGATATTATTCCACAGGTCTTATGACTTATTAACAACGTCCGAGTTGGTAACAAAATTATGAATTATTAGCAAAAAGTCGTCATCAGTTACTGCATGCTCAAATTGACAGCAGCTCATCTTGATTATCACAAATTGCGTCTATCTTTGAACAGTACGTTAATAAAGTTGAATAAATTCCATATCGTCGTACTAATTCCGAAAAGATATAAGTGCACGCTATGCTTAATTCCGAAACAACGCTAGTGCACTCGATGCTTAATTCCGAAACAACATAAGTGCAAGCGATGCTTAATTCCGAAATGACATAAGTGCATAGTAAAAATTAGTTTTTACTGTGCACTTATGTCATTTCGGAATTAAGCATGGCGTGCACTTATGTTGTTTCGGAATTAAGCATCGAGTGCACTTACGTTGTTTAGGAATTTACCATTGAGTGCACTTATGTCTTTTCGGAATTAGTACGACGATATTTAGATCGTGTACTAATTAATCCGCGAAATTCAATTATTTTTCAAAATCCTGTAAATTGGAAAATGGGGGCCCAAATTCGAGGCAGTGGGGAAATTCTGGTGCAAAATAATTTTTTTAATTATTTCCAGTGATATTCGGCCTAATTTTGGCAATTTAGAGACAAAAATCAAATTTGTAAAAATTTGCAAACAATTCGCGCACTTTGGCTTTTATTTAGAAAACTGTTGGTGGGCCCCCCAATTTTATTACGGATTCTTAATGTACACAAAATTACGAAAATTTTAAACTATCAAACTTCAAAATCGTTGGGAGATGAAAAATCGACAATTAGATGGTATATATAAGTACTAATTAAGGCGTGGATCTAACCATAGACCAAGATACTTAAATCTATACACTCTTTCTATCTTATTATTTAGGATTTCAAATGATTTTCGTGTGGATGTTTCAAAAGTGTCGTGATCTTTATGGTCCAATTTAGTGCTATAATGTTCAGAGGTTATATTTAGAAAGCTAACTTGATGAGCATATTGATTTCTCCTTGTATGGGTTAAAATATTTCTAACTGGACGTACAATTTTGACCCGTTAATTTTGATCTTATACTTTTCATGAGTTTTTTCTCATATTTCCCCAGTAAATGTACACTATCTCGTCAGTGATTTCGAAAGAGTATTAAGGGGGCTATAATTTGATCACAATTGTGGCCAGATTGTATGAACAGTTCAGACGCTATGCATATGATAGTGTGGCAAAAAAAAGTGGACGTTCAATTCTGGGCGGCACTGTGGCACGACAGAGTATATAGTCCTTAAAATAAAGAGACACAAAAAAACAACCCAACATTCTATAAAACAAGTCAACTTTACTCATTCCTTTCAACAAAGAGCAGTATAATCATCATATTCGCAACTTAACAACTATTACACGCATCACAAAAAAGAAATCATGGTAAGGTACTTTATATCCTTTAATTTGACACAATTATTTTTTGCACGGATGTTTTGATTGATATTATTTACATCTTTCAGGACATTCACATCGGGAAGGAGCACGAACCAAGTTGTAAGATTTATACCTCATTTATATCTTGAGGTTTTACATACTTACATATAAACCAAATATACACACATACACTAGGGAGCAATATTATTCGGTTTTGAGGAACCTCTAAAGTCAAATGACAAGATATGCATAACTGGCGGTCAGATCGGTTTCAATTTTTTTGCAATTTGTGCATAATTTAGTAGCCTTTCAGGAACATTAAACCGATTTTCGATTAAAGTCCAAATTTCCGAATAGTTTAACTTAGACTGAAAAAAGTCAGAAAAAAGAGAGCAAAATTACTCGGACAATATTGGTTGTTGTGTCAGAACTTACACAGTAAGCAAAACAAAAGATCGTACCCTATAATGCTGGTAATTTCGATATGATAACATCAACATAGATCTTTGAAACTCAACACGTAGTTGCACCAACCGATTGGCTAATAATTCCGCGTCGTCGATTTCTAAGGTCACCGACAGGTCATAGGTCAGAATTTTTTTACAAAAGGGTCAATTTTGAACTTTGTGGGTAATTTTTTTTAGACTTTCACACATTTTTTATTAGATACTGCAAGCGATTGCGAGAAAAATGCGCTATCGTATGACCGTGTGCGATTTTTTGGACGCCCACGGGAATTTTTCGACAAGGACAGGTTTGAGGTGTAAAATCGCGACCGTGGCGAAATTCAAATAATTGAAATATACAACAACCTATAAATTGTGTATGCATGCTGTTGTATATTTCAATTATTTGAATTTCGCCACGGTCGCGATTTTACACCTCAAACCTGTCCTTGTCGAAAAATTCCCGTGGGCGTCCAAAAAATCGCACACGGTCATACGATAGCGCATTTTTCTCGCAATCGCTTGCAGTATCTAATAAAAAATGTGTGAAAGTCTAAAAAAAATTACCCACAAAGTTCAAAATTGACCCTTTTGTAAAAAAATTCTGACCTATGACCTGTCGGTGACCTTAGAAATCGACGACGCGGAATTATTAGCCAATCGGTTGGTGCAACTACGTGTTGAGTTTCAAAGATCTATGTTGATGTTATCATATCGAAATTACCAGCATTATAGGGTACGATCTTTTGTTTTGCTTACTGTATATAATCTTGACCAAACATAAAAAATAGCATTCAATTATTTATTGGGCCTTAATTACTTGAAGTAACTGCGTTACAACTAAATTATTTAGATGCAACCAAATTTTAGGTGACATTTTCGGCAGCAATTTAGCCTGCTTCGAATTATTTTTTGGTTCAGGTCGCACTGGTGTGAAATCTTAAATTTTGAAATTTCGCTTTCGATAATATCTTAGGGATGTTTACTGTGATTAAGATCTGGCCTTTGTGGGGGCCATTCCAACATTTTAACATAGGTTTTGTTAATTCTCCCTGAATCGACATCGCCGGATGCTTGGGGTCGTTGTCTCGTTTGAATGTTACTCTTAGACCCGGGCCAAGGGAAGTGGCAGAACTTTTAATTTTTCTGTTAAGTGGATCGTAATAAACAAACTGTTTCATAGTTCAATCAAAAAATTCTGAATTTCTAGTACTTCCAGAGCTGATGCATGTCCAGATAATGACGCTACCACCATCATATTTAACGGGGAAATTCTCCATCTTTAGTGCGTCCCCTGTCTTTTCCCACGCTAGAGCGCTTTTAATTGGTCCAGCAGTGCTGACACCTTCGTTGGATTATAAAATCACCTTTAAAAAATGCTGGACTTTGGAAACATGGACCCTTCAGAAATTCAGTATTTTTTCTAAGTTCACTTTTCTGATGTATGGTTTGTTCCTAGTCCGAAAACTTTTTTGTCCAGTAGTTTTCTGGAGTCTTGCTACCGTACCGTACCGACGTACCAACTATTCAAATTCACTTTGGACCCCAGTCGCGATCTTGGGTCTAAAAAGCCTTGACGTGGCCTTCACTATATTTAAGATGGCTTGCAAGCATCCGAGAAGTCAATTCAGGAAGAATTAACACAAACTATGTTAAAACGTTGGAATGGCCGCCACAAAGGCCAGATTTTAATCCCAGTGAACATTTCTAAGATCTTATCGAAAGCGAAATTTGAAAATTTAAGATTTCAAACCAGGGCGACCTGAAACAAAAAAATTCCGAAGCATGCCAAATTGCTGCCGAAAATGCCACCTAAAATTTGGTTGCATCTAAATACTGCTGTTGTGACGCAGTTATTTCGAGTAATTAAGGCCAAATAAATAATTGATTACGGTTTTTTATGTTTGGTTAAAATTATACATAAAGTTCTGACACAAAAACCTTTTCTGACTTTTTTCACTGTAAGTTGAACTATTCGGAAACTTGGACTTTAATCGAAAATCGGTTTAATGTTCCTGAAAGGCTACTAAATTATGACTAGGTGTCGATAAGCGACAAGAAAGCTCGACCACCTTAATTAAACCATTTACCTGGATGGATTATTGCTTTATTTTGTTTATTGCCTTTTTTCATGACACATAAATTAAATTTTTGTCCCTCATGAATTTGGACTTTATTCATAACTCACATGTCTATTAGTATTTATTCATGAGGCACAAGCTATTTGAATTCCACATGACACAAATATTCAATTAGCATGACAATCGTGTCACCTAATTGTTCTTGTTAACCATGTTTTCACAATTATTTAAATGACCATATTAACATTCCTACCAATCATGACCACCTAATTTTTACTAACCATTTATCACCCGTCTTTAAGTAAACTTATTTCCACTCCCATTGATGAACAGATGACTGATAAATAATTAATCCTGGTGGCCCTATGCAAAAAGTAAAAAAAACTACCAGAGCAATTTAAAAATCTTGTCAAAGGTTTTTCTAGCAGATCCGGCATACAATTTATGTATACTCCACAAGGCTAATTGAATTATTTTATTATGTTACCATTCTGAGAATAATTTCATGTACTCGTATTTAGCATTAAAAAAACTTTAATGAGCAAATCCCGTGAATCACGGATTAGCTGATTCATTATGATTCCATTTCCAATTGTGTACCAAATGCTATTAATAAAAGCAGGTGTTCGAAATGCTTAATATTCTTTTGCCCATTACAATTTAAATGAGTAATTTGTTGTTGATTTTCACTGACGTAATCAATTACTTACATATTCTTATTCATATGGTAATCATTCTCATCTTTCATTTTTAGCAGTTGCTCACAAATTAATAAAAGTCCATCTTTTTGGGAAAACCTGAATCTCGTCGTAGATCTATAATGCAGATGTGAAATTAATTCTCAACCCACACTAGTAATATTTATGACTTTAATATAATATTCAATCCGATAGGTTCATACAGATTTTCAACATTTGTCTCTTCAGTTGTCGGATGTTGGTGAACACGTACCTTCCTCTCGATTAATTTTGTAATTTTGATGTGCGTAATGGAGAAGCAATACTTACACGAATATACCCCAGGGCCCCGATCTCCCCACATTAATGGTATTTTGCCCATGTCAGCCACATCTCCTGGCAATTTATTTCTTCAACACTTTCACTCTCAATTGTCAAGCGTTGGTTTGGATGACCTTCCCACTTCCGAACTTCCGACTAACAATTATAACCCAAATCATGGCAGTAGTGACGATGATTTAAATACTAACGTCCCATTCCATGAATATTGTACAAAACAGGCGAGACGGATATGTCCAGTTACAAAGTGGCTGCCCAATTATAACGCGAGGAAATGTTTGCATGATTCAATGGCCGGGTTTCTCGTTGGTTTGACCTTAATTCCACAATGTTTGGCGTTAGGATTAATGGCAGGATTACCACCTCGAGTATACAATCTCTCTTTATATTTCAAAAAAATTAATTGGTGAAAAACTAATAAATTTTGATTATATGTATGCAGTATGGATTATTCTCAAGTTTTATGGGATGCTTTGTCTACGTGTTTCTCGGAAGTACAAACTACATAACCATTGGACCAACTGCGATAATGTCGATTATGACGTGGACTTATGGGCAAGACAAACCTCCAGAGTATGCCGTTCTACTTGCTTTTCTTACCGGGGTTATAACTCTGAGTATGGGTATCATGCAACTCGGATTCATTGTAAACTTCATATCTATCCCGGTCGCAAGTGGATTTACGTCGGCAGCTGCACTTACAATTTGTTACACCCAGACGAAGGCCCTCCTTGGGATTGACTTTACTGGAATCAGCCTCATTGAGGTTGCGACAGGGTCGGTGAAACATATTCGAGAGATTGGAGAGTGGGATGTCATTGTAGGCTCGATCTGTCTCGTTGTACTACTTGTTTTGAGGGTAAGTTAAGATCTAAGTTCTGATATGAAAGTAATTTCTTTTGCTAATATGTTTTATTTGAAATTGACAGAAACTTGAACGGATATTTAGCTGCCTTGTGAAACGAGGGAGGCCATGGAATAAAATTATCTGGCTGATCTCAGTTTCAAAGGGGATAATTGTCACAACCGTCTGTACCATCATATTTTCCGCCATAGGAAGTGAAGAAATTGTCGGAATTCTAGGTAATATTTACGTACTAAATATGAGTGATATGTTGTATAATTTAAACCTAACCTAACCTAGTTTATACCATACTATGTAGGTTTCATCGTACCCGGAATTCCTTCCCCAACTTTACCGCCATTTAGCTTTGAAATCAATTCAACAGCAATTGGCGACTCTTCCAAACCAGGACAAATAATTACTTATACAGTTTGGAAATTAATTAGAGAAGATGGCTCAGCCCTTCTCGTTCTTCCATTCTTGGCACTAATGCAACACTCTTTGAATGCAAAGCAATTTGCTGGATCCAAGAGTATTGATTCGACTCAGGAATTAATAGCCATTGGCGTGTCCAACATTTTCGCCAGTTTTTTTTCCTCAATGCCAATCACTGGGGGATTCCCATGTACCGGGGTAAACGCCGCTAGTGGAGTCGAGACACCGATGGGGGGAATTGTTACGGGAATCCTCATGCTTTTGTCACTTCAGTTTCTCACCCCATATTTTTACTACATCCCCAAACCAGCCATTGGTGCCATGAATATTATTTCTGCCATTTTTACAATTGATTTTATGATGCCGAGAAGACTTTGGAGATGCAAAAGTAAGTGAATTTAATTTAAGTGTAAAAATAACAATTTCAAGGCGTTATTTTTACGAAAAATTCTTTCTTGAATAGAAATGGATCTGATTCCGTGGCTAGCGACTTTTTCCGTTAGTCTGTTTGCCGGGCTACAATACGGGGTATTGCTAGGATTTCTGATATCAGTATTGTTCCTATTGTATTGGGCGGCATCTCCAAAAATTAGAGTTAATCGATGCAAAGTAAGCAGCAACAAAGTTACGTAATTTGTACAATTGTGTATGTACATACGAGCTGTAACAAAACAATATTTTAAATTTATAGTTCTCGCAAAACGGAGCGAGATTCATTCTCGTTGATCTTGACCGTTCCTTAACCTTCCCATCTACCGAGTATATGCGTACTGTATTAATGAAATGCGGAGATAAATGGGCTTCCGGAAGGCTGCCGGTTGTCATTGATTGCTTCCACATGCATTTCGCCGACTACACGGCAGCTCAAGGGATCCTTGAATTATACAAAGTTTTCAACGCTAGGGCTCAGCCGCTTATTCTTTTTAGGTTAAAACCTTCCGTGAAACGAATTGTAACTGAATTAATGGTTATGGATGACATTTCACATATTTCCTGTCAAACTCAGTTGAAACTCGAAAAAGTCTTGAAAACTTTATGTGTACCGAGTCAAAGAGGAATTAGTATCAAAGGACGGGACCAAGTTTTACAGGTGACGAGTACTGAGGAACAAGATTTATCAATAGACTGTGAATCGCCATCCATAATTTATCCTGGTAATACTACAAGGCAGCATATTGCCAGGATGAGTTTTACTTTGGGGGATAGCGTTGTCCGCATATCTGAGGAATTGCAGCATAACAATGACCGCAACGGGAAGTCTGTTTGACATAGATATTTATAAATATTTCATAATGTGTTTCATCAGTTTTTACTGGATCCCTCGTTTTTTTCGCCGTAGGGAGATGCAAAGCTGATATTGTATTTACATATGTAACATAAGTTTTAAGTTTATGTTTTTTGTAAGTTTGAATGGATCAAACCATATTTTTAATTTAATGTGTCTACCATTTCAAGTACATATATCATTATTTTTGTTGTCATTTGCCAATTGTGTCGTAATTTTTAATAAATTTCCCATTGGGTTTTACACTCGGTTTCGTTGTACGATGTGGTTCTAATTACACTTGCATAGGTGAAAGACAAGACATATGTACACCTATCGTAGATTCATGGATGACAAATGTAAGCCTCATTCGGAACTGAAGCAAGCCTTCATCGAAAGCCTGAAGCGGTAATAAATGATGGGAAATCATACACTTCATTGATTTATTATTTCCTGCAATTTGTAAATAAATCCCTTCACTCGTAGTTATGGTCGAGGCATAATAATTAAGCACATTTTAGATTATATCTTGCTGAGAGGCTTATTGGCCGATCTTGTAATGCTTAACAGCATTGACGATTGAAATTCGGATCACTTTTCCAATTGTTGAGCGATATTCAAAATTCCGACTGTTTTGGAAACTTTAGGTCGAAAGGCGAAATGCATATTCCCAGATTTTTAAAATTCGACCACACCCCCTTGCTAGTGCTCCGATCGGTACGGTATCGGGACGACCCGATCGGAACGGCGTTCCGATTGAGGCATTCCGTCCCGATTCCCGAAGCTATATTTCTATACCGTACCGAACTGTCCCGATCATTTTTCCGAGCCGATACCGTACCGTACCGAAAACCGACGGTTCGGAACGGGATATTCCGAATTTCTTCGTGAAAACCAATGTTCATTCTTTCTAATGAGTTCCGGTTTTATTATGACGACCAATGTTACATTTGCAATGTATTATACCAGAAGGAAATAAATTTCAGCACAAACCAGGACTTTTCCGTTCTTTTGCCAATATATGACTCTCCTACAGCTTTTGATATCTACTTGCAGTTATATATATTTATGTAATTAACATATTATGTAGTAATAATAATAAGTTGTATTGATTTGAACGGTATCAGAGGATATCATCTTGAAATATCATTTATTGTACGAGCTTTCGTCTGAATACATCAAACTTCATCAGGCACACAAAGTAATCAAAAAATTGTTGATAAAATGTACATACTTCAATTTACATCTTGAGTTTTATAAATGATTTATACATGGAAACTATTATGGTTGACGATATTTTAAAGAACTGACAAGTGCTGCGCACCATATTGGACTGACAATTAATCCTTTTGAAATGTTGATTTTGTTGTCCAGATTTTTGATGTGTAATGATTCTTTGAATTTCCGAAAAAACTTCCTAGGTTCTTTGATTATTAGTTTGTATGAGTCTTTATCCAATTGGTGGTTATTGGTGATCATATGGAGAGCCACTGGAGAAATCTTTACGTTTTGATGTAATATAGCTTGTTCATGTTCTTTAATCCTTGTTTTGTAATCTCTTTCGGTCTCACCTATGTATGTGGCTGGACAGGATTTACATTGTAGGGAGTAGACTCCACATTGGGGTTTCACAGATTTTTGTTTTGCATTACAAAGCATTGTGCATAATTTGGGTCCGGGAAAATAGCCAATTTCGACTTCTAGTTTGTGTTTTAGATATCTTGCAATTTTATTTGTTATGTTTCCGGCCCATGGGAGGATAATTCTTTTTTCCTTTTCATCCTGTTTGGATCGTGTTCCAGTTTGGATTTTTTGGAAAACTATCCTTTTTCTGTGTGCGATAGTTCTTCTAGGGTAACCATTTTCTTGTAGGACGTTCATCGTAAACTCAAGTTCTTGGTCGAGGTGGTCATCATCTGAAAGTTGGTAAGCCCGGTTTAACAACGTATCCATCACTCCTATTTTATGTGCTTGGGGGTGAAACGACTTGTAGTTTAAATATTGGTTGGTGTGAGTTTCTTTTCTGTACACATAGTGGCCAATTGACGTGTCAGGTTTGTCATAAAGCATCACATCTAGGAACGGTAGCTTTCCATCCTTATCTTCCTCGAGTGTGAATTTAATTGCGGGGTGGAAGGCATTAATTTCTCTTAAAATTTGTTGCAGTTTTCTTTTCCTTACGATAGCAAAGATGTCATCTACAAACCTCTTCCAGAATAAGATGTTTCGGTTACTTCTTATGATTAAATTTTCTAGTAATTGTAGAAATATTTCTGCAATTATTGGAGAAATAGGACTTCCCATGGCGGCACCTTCTTTCTGATGGTAAAAACTTCCATTGTAATTGAAATACGTTGACGAGAGGCATATTTTTAATAATTCCATAATCTCGTCAGGACTAAGTTTGGTAATTTCGTCTAAATTTTCGGTATTTTCCAATAGTTCCTTGATGTATTGTAATAATAATAATAATAATAATATAATAATAATAATATATAGTAATATATTGATGTAATTTAATTATTAATTATACTTATTAAATATGTGAAACTGAGAGTTATAAAAAACGGTGCAGTCATTCTCGGCTTAGATTTGCATTCTTCCTATTTACCAATTCGTTGTAATTCCAACCCCAGCTGCCACGCCCCCACTTTATATCCGGTAGTCCGGGTTAATAATTTCTGTTAATTTGTTATTAACTTGCCAGCTTACAATCGGGTCGGCTTGACCCATTTTATAGGTACCAAAGTACTGGTTATAGTAAAATAGTATGTTAGTATGATGTCATAAATGTGTACAAAATTCCATCGATAGGATGAGTTTTATAACTGAACTCGGTACTACCGAGTCTGTCGGTAGACAGACTTGGTAATAGTTGTACAGTTGCCAAGCACGCCATGTATTTACACAGATATTGAGACTATTTTTAACAAATTAGCTGATTCGACTGGAAGTTTCACAGGTTTAGAAAATCAAATTTGGAATTGACGCATAATGGATTTAGGAGGATTATTCAGGCTAAAGCAGGCTACACTGGATGTTTCATGAATGTAGTACGTTACTCTGAGTAACACAAGACATTACCCTACCCACATGAAAAAAGAGAAAATTGTTTTCGGTATATCCCGATAATTTCGGATCGGTATCGGTACGGGAAAGCTCGATACCGTTCCGAACTTATCGGGACAGGTGGTTGTCCCGTTCCGAAATCGGTTTGTCCCGATATTTTTTTTCGGAACAGTGGACTATTTTATACCGTACCGTTCCGATTCCCGACGGTACGGTATCGGGACATTCCGATACCGATCGGAGCACTGCCCCTTGCAATTAAGGTCACAAGTTCAAAAAACACGCAAAATAAAAATAATTCCTGCAGCGGAATTTCAAAGCATAAAAATCGAATCGCTTGTCGAAAACATAACCCGATGCACAGGTCACATTTGAAAATTTTCAAGTGGTCACATGCCCACCCCCCATTGGGTGTGGCTCTGGGCGTCTTTTCGATTTCACCCAAAACATGAGGTGTGACATATCATTTTTCTCAGCTCGACGAGGAGATTCCGACAGAGTAAGTAGAATTCCTAAACCACACCCCCGGTGGGTGTGGCTATTTGCGTTTTCCCGGTTTAATCGAAACCCTGTCATGTGGTATGTCATTTTTCTCAGCCGGATGAGGGAATCTCAACGAAATTATAAAAATCAGAAACCACACCCCCGGTGGGTGTGGCTATAAGGGTTTTACCGGGTTAGTTGGAACGCTGTCATGTGATGTGCCATTTTTCTCAGCTGAATGATGGGATCTCAACTGAATTATGAAATTTCTGAAACTGGACCACCGGTCGGTGTGGCTCTAGGCGACTTGAGTTCTAATGACGAACTGTACAAACGATTTTTCACACCCCCTTGGACGGGAAACTAAAGGTTGGAGAGGATTCAGAATATATATACTTTGTGGGGTCTGGGACCACCCCCTGACGTTCTAGAGCCAGAAAATAAATTTCGAGTTTTTGCCTATCTACTCCCATGTTGGCTCCCAATCTACTGCTGTGTTAAATTCTGGAGAATTGAAATTTCTCGTTTTTCTGCCTTGAAGCATCTGGGAGTGGTCATACACCGCATAAAGTATATATTCTACATCCTCTCATCAAGACTTTTCGACGATACCCCACATGACCCGATTAAGACCTATTTGACGGATTTTGCATTTTGACCTACACACGGTCACCGTGACCTAATTTCGAAAAAAGCGAAAATGGTCCTTGTTTTAATTGACCCAAGGTATGTTCATGTTCAATTTTGACCCTGTAGGTGCAATAGCTGCGGCGCAAAAGTGGGATCTCAATAAAAGCCACACCCCCTCCCACCACGCCCACGTAATTTTAAAATGTCGTATAATATATTTTTATAATTTCGTTGAGATCCTATCATTCGGCGGAGAAAAATGACATATCGCATGACAGGGTTTTAACTAACCCGGTAAAACCCTTATGGCCAGACCCACCGGGGGTGTGGTTTCTGATTTTTATAATTTCGTTGAGATTCCCTCATCCGGCTGAGAAAAATGACATATCACATGACAGGGTATCGATTAAACCGGGAAATCGCCAATAGCCACACCAACCAGGGGTGTGGTTTCGGAATTTTACTTCCTCTGCCGGTATATCCTCGTTGAGCTGAGAAAAATGATATGTCACACCCCATGTTTTGGGTGAAATCGAAAAGACGCCCAGAGCCACACCCAATGGGGAGTGGGCATGTGACCACTTGAAAATTTTCAAATGTGACCTGTGCATCGGGTTATGTTTTCGACTAGCGATTCGATTTTTATACTTTGAAATTCCGCTGCAGGAATTATTTTTATTTTGCGTGTTTTTTGAACTTGTGACCTTAATTGCAAGGGGGTGTGGTCGAATTTTAAAAATCTGGGAATATATATTTCGCCTTTTGACCTAAAGTTTCCAAAACAGTCGGAATTTTGAATATCGCTCAGCAATTGGAAAAGTGATCCGAATTTCAATCGTCAATGCTGTTAAGCATTACAAGATCGGCCAATAAGCCTCTCAGCAAGAAATGTGCTTAATTTTAATTCCTGGACCATAGTTCAGCGGCGCTGCATTCGACAGACTGAAAATTTTTTACCACTTTCTACATACGTTTGGTTCTCCATCAGAGCAAAGAACGTACATAAAAACTAAATTTATGGACAACAATTAATTTGAGTTAATAAAAACAAGTGGACGCATTATTAACAACCTTTCTTGAATTATAAAC